GGGGGGGGGGGGGTGGGTGTTTACATTTTTCCATTTCAAGGGAGGTTTCTACCTTCCTTAGCAGACACCTGTCTTTTCAAACCAAGACTTTATTATCATGGCAGAGTCTAGTGAGGGAAGCATTACAACAGAGAAAAAAACATGACAACTCTCTCACTAAAGCCAGGAAGTTATATTCTTTCTCTTGGATGATTCTCAAAAAGCTCATTCATTCCAAGGGCTTCCACTCTCCTTCCTAGTTAGACTAACCAGAGTACACCAGGGGAGAAAATTTCTATATTAGGCAATTTATGGAACTAATGGCAAACAAACAAATCTCTTCAGAATTTTAAAAATCAGTTAACATACATAAAACCATGCCACAGGCTTGCCATTATGGTTTTGGCCATTTTGAAGGAAAAAGGTCTATTAAATATTTTAGGAAAGACTGAAATTTTCCAGAGTGGTTCACGATCTTAACTCAAATTCAAATGTTTCAAATTCTAAATTGTAGAGGGATGGAGGCCTCAGTCTTCCCTGGGCTTCAGAGAGGTGCAAGGCCTTGACACGCACCTCAGTGGCTGAGCAGATGTGTGCAGATGGTCTTAATACAGAGCCCCTTGGCCAGATACATGACCCAGACTGACTGTATTTCCAACATGTCACAGGGGTGTGAAATTGTGTCACTCCAGAGAGTGCACCGTCCACCTTATATGCCTTGTTAAGTAGGTGGTAGGTATGAAAGCAATGACAGGGAGAAAATGTGTGTAAGGATGTAAGGATAGCAGCACAAGAAAGATTACTTCTTTTCCTGTTGTAGAAAATTCTCTGCCTGTTCTAGTCATTCACTGAAATTAGACTCCAACTCATTTGTTGTTCCTGGGTGCACACATATACACACGTTCATTCTGCAACACGTTGTTCATCTGCCAATTCCACCCACACACCTGCAGACCCCATCATGAGATGCCAATCTCAGTTTTAGAAATCCCACATATCTTAAGAGATGTTTTGGTTTTCTTGTCTTGATGGACATAACTAAAAAAGGTTTTCATGCTAAATAAAATGTAATGTCACACTGTAATCTTAGTGAGCACTATGAATATCAGAAGCACCCCAAGACTCTCCAAACTGTAACAGAAGCAATGCCACCCTCCTTTTCCTAAAAGGAGGTCTAAAGCAATAAAGTTCACAACAAGTGAGCACAGACCAGGTTGCCAGGTCTACTTTCACCTTCTGATGAATCAGCCAAGAAAGCTATGATGCCAAAACTCTCTGCAAGGAACTAAGAAAAAGGGTCTGGAATCAAATTGTATCTCATAAGATAATACCATGAACATTACCATAATAAACAGAGAAATTACACATGCTGTGTAAGAGGAGCTGGGCTACATCTTATTATACAGAGCCAATAATGTATGTAGCAATTAGACAATATTTCATCATCAAATAAGAAATGAATTCTTGTCTTAACCTGGCTGTTCTACAGGATGTACTCTGTTGTCATGAATTTACAAACAATTTATGTTTTCAGCTTTGCAAAATAAAGTCTTTGCCACATGAAAGGTAAAAGTTTTTTGTTTATAATACTATTTACCAAATATATTTTTAATATCTTTCCCAGGTCTCAGACTGATTTGTGTTGGAGGACAAGTCTCAATTTTCCATGATATAGATACAGAATTTAAATTATAAAAGAAATATGATTTGCTTTAAGAATGTACTCTGAGAACAGGCATAATCGGGAACTGATCCAAATTCTCCTGGTTTATTCTATGGCATTCTGTCTACTGGAACACAAAGCAGCTATTCACTGCTTGTTATTCTACACTTTTTGATTTAATGTACTACCAAAACCCTCTTTTTCTCCAAAAAACATTTCCAGAATTACTTTCTTAGCTACCAGTCCTACCGAACTGGCTTATCTCAGTTCTGATGTCAGTAATTAGTTTGCAAAGCACTTGTAAATGAAAGAAGTGACAAATATTGTTGGAAAAGATCCTCTTTTCAGGTTCACATCAGAAATCCCACTGACTTCAGCAGAATAGAAATGATCAGACTCATTCTGCACACACGTACACAGAAAACCTACAGAAGTAGTATTGAATAAACAATGTGTTGCCCACCTACTGTATCAAATGAAGCCATGAGCTAAAAACCCTAAACCCTTGGAAAGTCTTATGTGAAGAAAAGGGTATCATATGACAGGAATGCATAATAGAACTGATAACCAAGAACAGCATCATCATCATCATCATCTTATGTTTAACTGTAATGGTCAAATCAGCACTGCAACCTATAACCTTCTGGTTTTATGTTCACTAATATCATAATTCCTATTAAGCTGCCTGTCTTCCTACCTTTCATAACATTCCCAATAACTGGACACATCCATATGTGTTTAAAAGCCATTCCATTCTTCTTCTTCAGGTCTTCTTAGAATATTTCTATCTTTCTATTTAAGCACTAAAAAAAATCCCTCATTTTTGGAAATAAGGATCACTTTCACTGTTTTCCTGGTACAGTACAAAGGCATCTGGTCAACACTTAAACTTTAAAATATAACTACCTTCATTTTAAGAACCCTACCCTTCGAATAAAGTTCTTCTGGTTCTGCCCTTCAACTCTCCCAAAAGATAAAGCTGCAGAGCTCTGAGAACTTCCCAGTGTCCACTTACTACAACTCCTCCTTTTCTCTTTCTTGGATATTTTTTTTTTTTGCCTCTGCTTTTGGGCTTCTGCCCAATGAAAGCCTTTGCATAAATGCAGCGTTGAAAAAGGTTTTACCATCAGAGAAGACAACTAAATTAAAGCAAATAGGTTGGACAGAGGACACAAATCAAATTGCATATATTTTCATATAGTATAGAGATGAGTGATTTTCATGCCCAATAGGAACATCATCCTTAGGGACCCCAGGCTAACACTGACCACTGAATCAGATATCCATATTGTTTATAACAAGCACAAGTGGAACCTACTGCTGACCACATGCTTGCTTTACTTCATCTGCTGCTCTAAGCAAATAAATTTTTTTATGTCTGGGAAAAGTGTTTTCACAATTGATTACATAAATACTGCAAATTAGACTGTTATATTATTACCTTATCTTATATTAGTTACCTTCTAGGTAACTCCTCCCAAAGGGATCTTAGGAACTGTTTTCTGTGCTCCTTCTCGTTAAAATAATCCCAGTGACTTTTTTTTATCTTCCCCACTGTTTTTGCATATCACCTATAATATATTTTTAATATTGAAAA